TGTTTAATTCCAGGCAGGGTGCTGGGCTTGGAAGATATCTCTGGACCCATTTACTTGGGCTCAGGAGCCAGCAAAGGAGATTCCTGTCATTGTCCCCTGCCAGGCGTGTCCCTGTGTGGGCTGTCACCCAAGGGCGGCTGGGCGGGCTATCTCCGCAGAGCCGTCTCCTCCCAGAGCAACTGACCAGTGGCTCCTGCTCGTTTGTCGATCTCCACCGTGCTTTGAAAAGATCAGCTGGATAGGCTGGGAGTTTTCATCAGCTAATTGTCCCCACCCCTCTTTCTGTCTGGGTTGTTATTTTGCACGGGGGAAAGAAACATGAAAAGAATTTGATTCATCATGAAGTGCTGGGAGGGAGGAATGCGAGCGGGAGTCACAGCCAAGGAACGGCGTGAACCTGGAGGGTGACACCGGACATAGTCCGCTGGGCCGGGGGTGCCGGGGAGTCCCACGGCCCTTGGCAGCTCTCCCCTGGGGGAGCTGGTGAGGGTCACTGGTGGACCTCGTCCACAGGCTCAAGGTCCTCCATGTGGCCAGGCAGCCATGCGGCAGGTAGTCACAGGCAAGGCTGGGTAGAAGGAAAGTGCAATGTGCCCGAGGTCGGGGCGATGTGGTCTGCTGTGTTTGGGTCGCTCCATACTTTATGTTGAGAAATGAAAGCTCTCAATGCTGTTACACCGGGAAGTGAGGCTGGGAGGTGACTGTGGCCTGACCTCTCTGCGTGGGCTCGGAGGCCTCGTAGACGGGAATGGCGGGGCCAGAGGCCTCTTCTGGCCTGTCCACCATGCAAGGATGCCCCAGGAAAGTGTGGCCTCTGGGCTGAGAGCCCCCCCTCCAGGCTGTGAATCCACAGGGGCCTTGCTCTTGGAAATCCTGTCCTTCAGAAGTGTGAGAAATAAATCCCCCAGCTTGGAGTATTTCGTGATAGCAGCCAGAATAGAGGAGGACTGGGAGCGGTGCTGTGTTTCTGTGGTTCTAGATCGGAATAGCAAACGGGCACAGCAGACGGGGGAGGTGGCCGGGCGGGGGGGGGGGCACCGCGGCGCTGCCCAAAGTCCCTCCTCGCCGTTTTCTGTGGAGGCTCCCTCCTGCAGCCACCTCCTCTCTTCTCTGCACATTGGGGGCCCCAAAGGGCATCTCTGGGTTGTAGAGAAGATGAAGGGACCTCTCCACACCATGGCAGACATGTCTTCACGAAGGAGGGAGGCTGGGCTGCAGCGTTCCCACAATCCATCTCTGCGCCCAAGCCCTGTTTAGTTGTGCACATCATTGGCTTTGTTTTGGTGTGTGTGTCTGTGTGCATGTGTGTGTGTGTGAGCATGCACCAGTACTGGGGTTTGAACTCAGGGCCTTGTGCTCTTCTTTAACTTTTTCTCATCAAGGATGGTACTCTACCCCTTGAGCCACACCTCTACTTCTGGCTTTTTGCTGGTTAATTGGAGAGAAGAGTCTCTTGGTGTTGTCTGCCCAGGCTTACTTTGAACCATGATCCTCACATCTTAGCCTCCTGAGCAGCCAGGATTGCAGGCGTGAGTCCCTGGGGCCTGGTTCACTGAGAACCTTTGACTGAAGGGTGAGGAAGGGGGAGTTTGTGGATGATGTGGTCAAGGAGTCATGGTCACATGTCTCCTAAGGAAAGGCCTTCGCACCTGGCCACCCCATCCTTCCCACCCCTTCCCCCTTCATCCCCCCCCATTACGCGGCCTCCACACGCTCCCCTCCCCCCATTACATGGCCTCCACATGCGCCCCTCCCAGGGACCATGTTTGCGTCTGTGCCAGGAGCCCCCGTAAGAGGAAAGCTTGTCCGGCCCCTTCTGTGCTCTTCCCCGTGGGCCTCAGTGCTCCTGAGCTTTTCTCACAGACTCCAAAGTCAGTGCTGGGTGAGGAGCAGCCCCATGTCTGCCCCTTGCAGCAGGGAGTGGAACCGCCCCGGGTGATCAGCAGGAAGTGGATCCGCCCCGGGTGATCAGCAGGAAGTGGATCCGCCCCGGGTGATCAGCAGGAAGTGGATCCGCCCCGGGTGATCAGCAGGAAGTGGAACCGCCCTGGTGATCAGAGGGAAGTGGAACCGCCCTGGGGTGATCAGCGGGAAGTGGAACCGCCCCGGGTGATCAGCGGGAAGTGGATCCGCCCCGGGTGATCAGCAGGAAGTGGATCCGCCCCAGGTGATCAGCAGGAAGTGGAACCGCCCTGGTGATCAGCGGGAAGTGGAACCGCCCTGGGGTGATCAGCGGGAAGTGGAACCGCCCTGGGTGATCAGAGGAAGTGGAACCGCCCGGGTGATCAGCAGGAAGTGGGACCGCCCTGGGGTGATCAGCGGGAAGTGGAACCGCCCTGGGGTGATCAGCAGGAAGTGGAACCGCCCTGGGGTGATCAGCAGGAAGTGGAACCGCCCCGGGTGATCAGCGGGAAGTGGAACAGCCCTGGTGATCAGCAGGAAGTGGAACCGCCCTGGTGATCAGCAGGAAGTGGAACCGCCCCGGGTGATCAGCAGGAAGTGGAACCACCCTGGGGTGATCAGCGGGAAGTGGAACCGCCCTGGGTGATCAGAGGAAGTGGAACCGCCCGGGTGATCAGCAGGAAGTGGGACCACCCTGGGGTGATCAGCGGGAAGTGGAACAGCCCTGGTGATCAGCAGGAAGTGGAACCACCCTGGGTGATAAGCAGGAAGTGGAACCGCCCTGGTGATCAGCGGGAAGTGGAACCGCCCCGGGTGATCAGCAGGAAGTGGGACCACCCTGGGGTGATCAGCAGGAAGTGGAACCGCCCTGGGGTGATCAGCAGGAAGTGGAACCGCCCCGGGTGATCAGCAGGAAGTGGAACCGCCCCAGGTGATCAGCAGGAAGTGGAACCGCCCCGGGTGATCAGAGGAAGTGGAACCGCCCCGGGTGATCAGCGGGAAGTGGAACCGCCCCGGGTGATCAGCGGGAAGTGGAACCGCCCCGGGTGATCAGCGGGAAGTGGAACCGCCCTGGTGATCAGCAGGAAGTGGAACCGCCCTGGGGTGATCAGCAGGAAGTGGAACCGCCCCGGGTGATCAGCAGGAAGTGGAACCGCCCGGGTGATCAGCAGGAAGTGGAACCGCCCGGGTGATCAGCAGGAAGTGGAACCGCCCGGGTGATCAGCAGGAAGTGGAACCGCCCTGGGTGATCAGCAGGAAGTGGAACCGCCCTGGGTGATCAGCAGGAAGTGGAACCGCCCCGGGTACCCCGGGTGATCAGCAGGAAGCATACCTGCTGTACTGAGGAATGTGCCAGAAGAGAGAGGAGGGAGGCCAGGCAGGAGAGGAGGAGGGGGGCCAAACAGGGGAGGAAGAGAAGGGAGGAGGGAGGCCAGGCAGGGGAAGAGGAAGAGGAGGGAGGATGGAGGTCAGGCAGGGGGGGAGGAGGAGTCCCCAAACCCTCTCCTTTCGCATGCCTCTCCTCTGCATCGTCTGCTTCATCTGGAGACGATCCGTCACCCCGAGGCCCACAGCCTCTCCTAGCATCTCCTGACGGCTCCCCAGTCACCTGCACGGAGCTTCTGTCCTTCACTCTGGGCAGGGACTGGCCAGGCCCCACGCTCTGCCTGGTTTCTTGAGGAGGAGGAAGAAGAGGAGGAAGAGGAGGAAGAAGAGGAGGAGGAGGGATTAGTAGAGGAAGCGGCAAGAAAGGCCAGGCCAGTGGGGGGGTCGGAAGCACCCCTGGGCTGTGACCTGGGGAGGGCTGAGCAGGATGCCTGCAGAACATGTCCACCCCCAGACACTCACAAACCTTGGAGAAACTTCTCATCAGCATCACAGAGGATTGAGCCACAGCTGTTAAACGATGACCAGAGGAACGTGGATGCACGATTTCCTGGCGACCGTACACGTCAGAAAAGCCTTCTCTCCCTTCGTGTCTGCGTGCGGCTGCTCTGATCAGAGAGGGCCAGGGCTCTCAGCAAAACGCTTCTTCTGTGCGTTGATTTAGTTCTTTAAAAACTATGGATGCTGAGGCAGGGCTTGGGGTCTTCTCTGTCCATCTTCATTGTTGTGTTGATGACAAAATTACTTTCTTTTCTTTAATTGACACATAACAATTATCGAAATGGATAGGGTACAGTGTGTGATGCTTGGAACATGTATACATTGCATAATGATCAGATCAGGGTAATTAGCATTTCTATCATCCCAAACATTTATCATTTCTTAGTGGTAAAACATTCAAAATCTTCTAGCTATTTTGAAATATACAGTACATGTTTTTTTGTTACTTTTAAAACTTTAAATGTGTTATACAATTTCTCCACCATTTACATAATGAATCGCATTATATAAGCAATATCATATATTTATATATGAGCGTAGCCTACCTTTTCTTTTTTTTTTAATTGTGTTGAAATGTACCCGACATAAAAGTTACCCTGGGAGCCATTTTCAAATGCACGCTTTGGCGGTGAATGAATGTTGGTGCCACCCGTCCACCTCCGGATGGTTTACACCTTCCCAAGCCGAAATGGTTTAACACCAGCCCTCCTTCCGCGCTGTGCTGGGTCCTCCTCGACACCAGCATCCGCCTCAGCAGGAGGGGCCGCATGATGGGCGCTTGCTCAGCTCTTGCTTGAGTGGTTAGCCAATGGCAGCCTGCAGCCCTAATAGGCGAGATGAGACTGGCCTTTGAGTGGTCACAGTCCTAGCATGCATGCATGTGTGTGTGTGTGTGTGTGAGTGTGTGAGAGAGAGAGAGAGAGACAGAGACAGAGACAGAGAGAAAGAAACACAGAGAGAGAGACAGAGACAAAGACACACACACACAGAGATAGAGAGACAGAGAGACAGAAACAGAGACAGAGAGACAAAGAGAAAGAAACACACAGAGAGAGACAGAGACAGCGAGAAAGACACACACACAGAGATAGAGAGACAGACAGAGACAGAGACAGACACACACAGAGATAGAGATAGAGAGACAGAGAGTCAGAAAGAAACACAGAGAGAGGGGGGGATTGTTCTTAAGGTTCCTCAAAGCCTCCATCTTCTCACCCCCGTGCTTCAGTGTGACTGTGTGTGGGACCCTTGGGGTGTGAGTCCATCTGGAAAGCCCTAGGCGGCAGAAGAAACTTGAGGCCTTGCGGGATGTGTGCCACAGTCCGCAAGGGCTCTGTCCCATTGGCCACCTGTGTCCCAAAGAGGACACTGGGGTGGGAAGGCCGGGGTGCTGGGCTCCCGGGGTGCTGGGCTCCCGGGGTGCTGGGCTCTGGGGTGCTGGGCTCCCGGGGTGCTGGACTCTCGGGCTCCCGGGGTGCTGGGCTCCCGGGGTGCTGGGCTCCGGGGTGCTGGGCTCCCGGGATGCTGGGCTCCCGGGCTTCTGGGGTGCTGGGCTCCGGGGTGCTGGGCTCCCGGGGTGCTGGGCTCCCGGGGTGCTGGGCTCCGGGTGCAGTCAGCCCTGGTAGCTCAGGCTGTTTCTGCCGGGCGTCTTGTTTACTCAGCTCCTCCCCTTCCTCCGGCCAAGCTCTCCGCGGTGGAGTCACTCTGGGACAGCTGACCCTGGGCTCTCTTGGGGTGACTTAGGGTCCCGGAGGCTGCATGCTGCTTTGAGTAGCAAGATTCCTGGCCAGACATGAAAGGGAAGATTATAACAGCCCATTTTCTCCAGGCAGCTTAACCCGATTAAATAAGAATCAAGGGGGAAAAAAATCCCTACCTGGCAGCTCTTCCTTTTTAGCGTGGCCTTGCAGCCGCCTTGCCCGGGCCTCCCCGGGGAGGCCCGAGGGCATGCCCAACGTGCATGGCATGCTCTGGGCTGGGCAGAGCCTCCTGGCACCTTTGACTTCCCTCCGCTGCCGATGATGCACAGAGATGCTGCCCGACGCAGCACAGCCCCCAAGTGCTGGTGGTCAGATCGAGGTCAGGGGTGGCCGGGCAGCCCCTGGGAGCCTTCCTCCTGCTGCGTGTCCCCCGTGGGCCGAGGGGCCAGACTCCGCCCGGACACGATGTTCTCTGAAGCATCAAATGGCCTTGTGTAATCCTGTGACTGGTCAGTAGACGCTGCCTGTGTGGGCTTCGGCCGGGGTCAGGCCAGGTTAGCCGAGGCTGGACACGGCATCCGATGGGGTGGCGAGCCGGTAGCATCCCCTCACCCACGGGTGAACCGGCCGGGAAGCGTCCGGGAGGATGCCAAGGTTTGGGCGGATTTATGGCGATTTATGCCATTGATACAGAGCTTTAAAACTCCAGCCCGCCACGACGCTGGCTCCGGGGCTGGCTTTGTCCACACCTATTTTGAGCAAGTTGAGTGTTTTCCTGGGGACCATGGGGTGGGGGTGGGGGAGGAGGTGGATGAGCAATGCCTGTCTCCCCTCCCCCAGCCCCTCTGCGGTGCCAGGGCTACTCCTTTAGGAGAGGGCGAGGCCTGGCCACGCTCGAGCGTGCCACCTCGGGGAGCATCTGGGCGGGGGGGGGCAGAGTGGGGAGATCCGGGCAGACGAGGTTCCTGCCAGCTTCCCAGACCTGGTGCTGTCAGCAGGGAACGCTGGAACATCTGAGCTGTCGAGGCTGACTTTGAAACCGAACGCGGTGCGGGGAGAAGAGTGATTTGGGCTGAGCGTGAGCCTCACTGGCACTCGGGTCCTTTCCATTTTAGAGCAAGGATGCGTGCTGAAGATGGAAAGTACTTGGAGATAACTGGGAACTTGGCCTTCGACACACATAAACAAGGTGGTTTCGAAAGAAAGGCTGCCCTCGGTCCTGGAGCCAGAGGAGGCAGAGCGCTCTGCCCAGCGGCTGGGCCCCCAAGGCCTCCCGTGCCAGCAGCCGGGCCGGGCCTCACAGGTGCCAGCGTCTGCAGCCTGGCTGCTCAGCTGCGGCGGGAAGCAGGCGTGGAGGAGGAGGAGATGCTGAGGCCGAGGCTGCCTGATCCTCCAGGCCTGAGAAGGGTCGGGTGAGGCTGGCTGAGGTTGGCACAGACCCCAGGGGATGAGGCTGCTAGGGAGGGGACGAGCGGAAAATGATCAGGAAGCCATGGTGGGGGCCGGAGGAGGAAGGAGCCATGTGCTCCCGGGGTGGCGTGTGTGGTGTATGTATCTAGGTAGTCTGAGGTGGTTGTGAAACAGAGTGTGTACGTGGGGGGGGGAGTGGACAGATGCCAGGGATCAGGTGCATAGAGCTCTGAAGCCATGTCTAGGCCTTGGCCTTGTCTTTGGGCCATCAGAACAGCTTTGTTTTTGTACTGGTCCTAGGACTTAAACTCAGGTCCTGGGTGCTACCCCTAAGCCTTTTTGCTCCAGGCTGACATTCTACCAGTTGAGGCACAGCTCTTCTTTGCTGGTTAATTGGAGAGAAGCATCTCACAGACTTTTCCTGCCCAGGCTGGCTTTGAACTCTGATCCTCAGATCACAGCCTTTTGAGCAGCTAGGATTTCCAGCGTGAGCCGTTCCTGTCCAGCTAGCCCCTGGGTTTTAAGAAGAGACAATGCTATGATCTACCAGCAGATACACTCATGCATTCATGAACACTGCCCAGCCCTTTGTTCCCGGGCCCAGGCCACGCAGCAGGAGATGCTGAGGAAGAGTTCTTGTGGTGGTGGGCAGGGGGGAGGATGGAGGCCGGAGGCTTTGCAGGCATCCAGGGGAGGAAGAGAATGATGGGAGCGGAAGGTAGACTAAGGCTGTGGAAGGCAGAGGGAGCAGGTGTAGAGAGCACTGAGTGGGGACGTGGCGGACAGGGCTGGAGAGAGTGGGTTAGTTGAGGAACCTGGTGCCTAGGCCAACGGAAGAGCTGGAGGTGCATGCCCAGACTCTACCTGTCATGGTTGTGGGACTGGATTTGTTGACAAGAGGACTGATGTAAGATGACCCAAGAAGGTGCATCTGGGGAGAGCCACGCCCAGTAAGACTCACTGGACAGGCTGCAGAGCACAGGTGCCATGGCCCCATCATATTACAGGATCCCAGCAGCAGAGAAACACTGCTCTGCGTCCCGGGGAAGCCACCGATGGCCACTGTGAAGTACCACGGGGACAGGAGTCACACACTGCATCGATGAACTCAGAAACAGGATGCTCCTGGAGCCCTCATGCGTATCACTCGTGGTGGGCAATCCCTTTCAAGACGGCGAAGGTTTGGGGCTCATGGATGGCTGAACGTCTTCCCAGAACTCTGGAGGCTGGCAGGCACTGACCTGTGTGGGAGGTGGACACAGGCAAAAGCCACAAGACTTGGGTGACTCAGGCCCCTGAAGCCATAGCTGGCTCAACGTGTCCATTTTGTAGAAGTAGAGCAAAGAGCACAGAAGTGTTTCGTTGACTTAAGACTTATGAGTGGCCTCCTCAATGTGGCATCTACTGATAGAAGTTTCCAGAAAGATCCATTTGCAGATGATGCATGAAAGCACTCAGGTTCGGATTCCTCCATCTCTTCAAAAAGTCCTAGTCCTTTGGAGTTGGAGGCATTACTCAGGTGTGAGTGGCTAGATCCCAAGTTCAAGTCCTGGTCTCCGGCCAAATAAATAAATAAATAAAGATTCACAGTCCCATCTGAAAAATAGCATCTGGGAACGGTTACACTATAGCTCTTCATTACCGGAGGTTGATTTTCCTAAGTCAACCAAGATCCATAAAGGGTCCAAGGCAAAGTCCCATAAATGAGCAACTTACACGCTGTCTATTGTCTGAGCCATCCTCAGACCAGGGGTCATCCTTGGACCTGTCCTGCCCAGCCACACACTCATCGTTAGTTACCTAGCCGCCATCTTGGTTACCAGATTGTTGGAGTATCTCAGTACTTATTCAGCAGCCCTTCCTTAATGTATTGGTTGCGTAGCAAAAATAACAGATAGAAACACTTTAAGGGAGGAAAGAAGCCAGGTGGTTGGAAGGGATGGGTAGGGCTGAGAAGGGATGGGTAGGGATGGGAGGGGGCGATGGAAGGCCTGGCTTGATCAGGATTGTGCTCATAAAAGGAGGAAAGATTTATTTTGGTTCTTGGTTTCAGGAGGCTTACTTCATGGTTCCTTGTCCTTGGCCCAATAATTGAGCAGGATGTCCTGGTGGTGTCTCCCACGAGAGAGAGAGAGGGGGGAGGGAGGGAGGGAGAGAGCGAGAGCGAGCCCTGGATGTGATATAACCTTCACGTTGTCTCCACCTCCAACAGTTTCTATAAAACCCCCAAATATCACCTCCACCTGGAACCAGCTATTCAGAACACAAGCCTGTGGGACACCCTCCATGTTTAGCTGTCCTAGATAGGTAACAATGGTCCTGATGTGCATGGGCTGCAGTGCTGACAGTGTCATTACAGGGTGGGGCTGTGTTGTCTTGTGTTATTTCTCTGGCCTGATTCCTAAACTAAATGCTATCCTACTGGTGTGGGAAAAGCAGCCTGGTGCGACTAGGTTCTCTCAGTGGTTCCAGGCCTTTACCGGTGGTCTTGGAGGGGGGTTCCTCATTGATAAGGCCGGGTGTCTGTCTGGAAGCAGACATCTGATTGCCACCTTCCATACTCGGCTGGGAAGTCTTCCTCTCCAAGTCCCCCTGTCTCCAGACTTTCCCCTCAAGGCTGGCATTCTAACACACTTGGACCCAGCTCCACTTCTGGTGTTCTGGTGGCTAATTAGAGGTAAGTGTCTCATGGATCTTTCTGTTGGGGCTGGCTTTGAACTGTGATCCTCAGATCTCAGCCTCCTAAGTAGCTAGGATTACAAGCCTGAGCCACCAGTGCCTGGCTTACAGGATTTATTTTAACCCTGGTGAGTCTCAGACTGCTAACCTACCGGGCTTCAAGCTCGAAGCTGTGTCTTACCCCATAATCTCCTGTAGGGCACAGCCAGGAGGCCTGGCCAACTCTTCCCCGGCCTCTGAGGGCCTTCTCCCCTTAATCCACCTCTCCAGTAAGAGTTCTTAATTACCGTACTTGAGGTGGCTTTTGGCCAGGAAGTTCAAAGCATCTCCTACCCTTACCCCATTAATCCCATTAGCATCCCGGGGAGAGCGGAAGGTTCCAGAGTGTCCTGTGATTCCCGTCTGCCTGCTGCAGAGAGCATGTGGAGGGCCGGGCGGCGCGGTGGCCTGTTTGGCCCGGACATCCTTGGTGAGTCAACGCCGGCCTGGAGAAGTGGCTGGATTCTCAACTTGGGCCAGGGGCCTCGGGGGCCGGGGCAGGCAGCCCTCCTTCTTCACTAAACAGCCATTGCCTGCCTCCAAATGCGTCCCTCTCCAGCACGGGCAGATGCCAGGGTCCTGGGGCCCGCGGCTCTTATCCTGTCCTCTGCCAGCCCTGGGTGGAGGGTCCTTCTTCCTGTGGTCCTTCTTCCCTCCAGCCTTCTCTGAGTTTCCTCTGCAGAAAGCAGCTCCCCCCCCCAAACAGCTTGGCCGTGGATTAGAAGCCACATCTGTCACCTGTTCAGGGTGCTGTGCAGCTGTGAGCTCCCTCGGGGGCTACCTACGTGGGCAGGGCTACTCCCCGGGGTGCCGGGGAGGGGACTCCCTCACCCCCGGACAGCGGGACAAGAGGAAAACAAGATGTTCTTTCTTCTGCCTGCCTTTGCCCTGGCCCCGAGGATTCCACATTGTTTTTCATCTTGCGCCTAACTCTGGTCCAAGAACTTGGTGAAGTTGGGGCAGAGTCCTTAAACTTGTTCTCCTTCTTCTTCTTTTTGTAAACAAGTGTGCTTTCCTGGCCAGATGTTTCTTTTTTTTGCTGCTCATCGAGGGCTGCGCCATTGCGCTGTCCGGCTGAAGCTGAATAAATCTTTGTTTTATGGCCTCCTTGGTCCTTTACA